GAGGTGAAATCAGTGATGCCAGAGAGGCAATTGTTGTTGGCTTGGTGTCCTTCAACAAATGATGTCTTTTCTCTTAAGTGAGGTGAAATCAGTGACACCAGAGAGGTAGTGTTGTTGGTTTGGTGACCCTCAACACGTGATGTCTTTTCTCAATGTGCACTGAAACCGGTTACACCAGAGAGGCAGTGTTGTTGGCTTGGTGTTCGTCAACAAATGATGTCTGTTCTCAAAGTATTGTGACTTAAGTTACATTGACACATCTGAAATTATTAGGGAGGGGCACTTTGTATTGATTGTTATTCTTCTCGGTGAAATGCTATTTTCATATTGAGGTATTTAAACATCAATCTGTGAGTAGATGGTATAATACAATAAACTAGACTTGGAGATATTTTTCCAACAAAAATGATTTATTACCCTTCACTTTACACACACAAATAGTGGCACAACAAATTATATTTCCCAAACAGCTGCCATAATTATGTTTTTGTTTGAGAAATCTTGGCAGATACATTTGTTGATTAGGAAAGTTCAACATATTTAATCTTTTCCTACATGCTATTTTTAACTAACAAGAAAACTTCATTCATACATGTACATCACCACACCTAACATTACACCTGCCCACATGGATAACATTTACTTAGTTGTCAGACGTGTTAATGGATAAGACACTGGCCTCTTTTTTTTTTTTTTGTTAACTTTTTTTTTGTTAGAAATTAAAAGAAACAAAACTGTAAAGTTATTTAGTACTAAATGCCCTTTGTTTGATAAGGTAGATATTATTTTATGTAAAGGATGTCCTTGGCAAGGTGTTATCTGATCCACATGTGAACAAATTCTTTTTTGATTTTTGTAATGCACTAAATAAATGAAACCTACTGCATTCAGTAAGATCAAACAGTGTATTTGGATGAAGTCATATCTCATAAATAAAAAGAATTATTGACTGCATTCAAAAATAAGAAACTAATATAACTTTATTTTATATCATCACTATCTAGCCCTGTAAAAACCAGAATTGAGAAGAAGAATTTGTAATGTGAAATTTAATTTTTTTTTGTTGCAACTAAACTTTAAGTCATTCTAGTGTTATGAATAATACAAATTTGTGTTGGTTTGAAGTAACTTTAACTGCCATAAGTAAAAGTGATACACCTTTTAAACCACAAGGTATATTATGAAACCAATTACTTGTAATCACCATACTTTAAACAATCACTTTTTGTGATTGTTAGTTTGGTTAAAAATAAAATGCTATTGACTAAAAATGTGCAGTTGCTGAAATTAGTATATTTGGCAATGAGCAAAAATTGGAGGATTGAGAAGAAAAAATTTGGAATTGTTTTATGGCACAAAAAAATGAAGATGGTGTGTAGTAGACATTTAAAAGATTCATGATAAATTATATATACTTTCTTAACTAAAGAATATACCAAGTTTTGCCTCATCATAGTATTTGTTTATGAGTTCAATTTTCATCCAAAGAAATGTAAGAGGCTACACTATCACAACATTACAACCCACTTCAGCATGTTATAGAAAGACAAAACAACAACTTAGACCTTAGTATAACATGTAGTAGATGGGATAAAAGTGATCAGTGTACAGTGGTCACTTTTAAAATAATTCTTATGTTGGCACAGCATTCTTGGCTGCCTGTTAGTACAACAGACTAGTGTGAGAATATACACTATTATAGTTCTTGTGAGAACCGAGTCCAAGAGAGACGTTCACAGTGGTTAGGAACATAAATCGTATGACACACAGTTGTGCCCATCTTTGCCAACTGGACATTAAAAGATTTTTTATGACCCTTAGCTTCATATTTAGTTAGTCTTGGTAATAAACTATACAAATAATGAAATCAAATGCATTCCAAATATTCGTGAAATTTGTCGCAATCTATACATTACCATCTTTGACAGTAACAACTTTAACGATTTAGGAAGAATAACAATAACCAATAAAATATCCACTGGAAAATCAGATTAGCTGTTCACACTAGTTTCCTTCCTATTTCTGATAGAACAAACAATACTTATAGAAACACTTAAAATACTGGCATTCATTGTTTCCTGAAGTGGAAACTAAAAGTCATCGTCATAGAGCACGTTAATTTCATGGTTAAAATGAACTACTTATGCACATTACTTATTGAAACTGCAGTACAGTAGGAAACTTGTCTTTTTGAAAATGCACAGTACAAATATAATCATACAAAAAATTTTTTGTAATAATAAAAATTAGTTTAAAACTTGATGACTCATGAAAGTTCAAAACAAAGCACTAAAAATTATATAACAAAAACTTATAAGGGAATATTACCGTTTTTTAAAGATAAAACAAAGTAGCAGCCATTTTGAATTTCCTATTCCACTTGGTTAACAATAGTAGATCATAAAGAAAAAAAACAAAAAGTTGTCCTAAATGTACAAAGACTTGTTATCATCACAGACTAGACAGGGAAGTCATCTTGAGCACGCACTGATAAAAGGCTTTGTCATTTTAAACAATAACCAGCATTAGTTACCAATCATGATAGTGGCTCTAAAACTGCGCACGGGTGATGTCGAGACAGCGGGGAGTACAGAGCTGATATGAAACATCAATATACCCAATAAAGAAACATGGGTTATTCTATGATGTTTAGTCAACATCTAAGAATACAGGCTCCTACTATATTTATATATATATGCATGTATAAAACTTTGGATTTACAAGCCTAACCTTGCAAGACATCAGTAATGGAAATCCATCTCTTCACTTTGAGATTGAGGGATTTGAAAATGTTACTTCAAAGTTTAATAGCTTTTTCTTTTCCATGTGCCCACAAAAATGTAACAGTTTATCATTGCACTATACTTAATAAAAAGGTTTCCTGGTGTCTGTCTCTCAGCTTGAAACATACCAGTCATTTCATACTAGTGACCCTTTGGGTATTCACGCTTTTTTCTTGTCAGATACTTGAAAGTTCATGTGGATGTTTCCATTGCTGTGAAACCAGTTTTATTTGAAATAACTGTATTTGTAACCATAGCTGGGAAACTGGAAGAACACTGACTCATTGTTGTCATGGTTACATCAGTGAAGCCTCCAGCTGGTACTGGTATCTTACTTGATGTGAAAGACTGAAGCAAGTCAGCAGATGTTGAAGTCTCAATAGAGGTGGTAGCTAGAAAGGAACCCAGGGTTGTAGGATTGACAAGAGTTGGTGATTCCAGTAGTCCTACAGTTCCATCACGGTACCTATGGAATTATAAATTTAAATTGTATTACATGGATAAATTGTTTCAACATGTATAACTATTTGTATCTTTACAACCGAAATGAAATCTATATGTTTATGTTCAAGCTGTTAAATTCCTTAAACTGGAATTACATATAATAATAATATACTTGGTAATTATTTCAGCCTTTAAACTTCAATTCCATATAACATTACAGTGAAACACGTCTTTCTTTGTATCAAATGTCAAAGTTTCTGTAAAGATGTTATATTATTATAATGAAACAAAAGTATATAATTTTTTTGTTATATATGCTAATAAATATGATTTTAAATTTGCATTCCACTAAATTTTACTTTTCTGGTTTTAAATATTCCGAACTTTGCGACTCCATTACATGAAGTTTGCAATAGACTATTATACATCAAAATAGTAATTGCAATAAAAAACGTTCAGTGTAAGCCATATTCAAATTAAGGTCTTATATAGGGTTACCAGATTTCCCAGTGAAACCTGGATCGTCTTAGCCTTTTTTTGTCCGATCACAAACAGTAACAGTATTAAATTGTCCCAGTTTCTCTGTTGCTCAATATGAATTTGATAAGTACGGTTTGTAATTATATACAGCTACTTTAAATTTTTTTCAAAAACACCTTAGGTGTGAAAAAAGGTGCGGCCAAAAAAGGATTGAGTGTGCGACTTAAAGGAATGAAATCAAAATTGGTGGCCAATCTGGTAGTTACAATTATAGCATTGATAAGAATGTTACAGCAAATATTCATTCATTAGTTAGCCAGGCTGCGTTTTTGTTCAACTTGGAGCATGATGGTGGGTAAAACAAAATACGCGGCCTAGCTAACAAATGAATGAATATTTTCTGTAAAATTCTTATCAAAGCTGTAAGTGTAGCTACCAGTTTGGCCGTCAATTTTGATTTCCTTTAAGTCGTATGCTCGATCCTTTTTTTGGCCGCACCTTTTTTTTCACACCTAAGGTGTTTTTGATTAGATTTCACGACTTTTTTCAATACACACCAATAAACCACAGCAAGTAAGAAAGTAATACTCGATAGTAACCAACATTAGCTTTAGGATCGCAACCCTATTATTCGGAACAGACCTATATCTTACAGAATCAACCAGATTCTTCAAAATATATGGTGTTAGTTTTATTCTCTAAAACAGTGTTAATAGCTTCCTTTATAGTAACGCCATGGAATGTAGATTAACAGTTTCTTGTCATCACCCGCATGTACTCGGTACAGCCACATCAAGCATCATTATTTACGCTAATTGCATAACCTAATATCACGTGACGCTAAACGCTCTTTGATTAGAATAATTAGAAAATATTAGAAATTTGTGTTTAAAAGTTGGCAGTGAATAAATAACCGTCCACCTATATGATTCTTTTGAGAACTTGAGCTAGAAACTGGTAATATAGTTTACTTGTCCTAACCAATACCTATGTATCTGTACGTCACTTCACCTCAAAGATTTGCTGCTCTCTAAATCAGCCGTCTTTCATCCGAATGACAAAAATAGAATAAAATTAAAACGGTCCACTTTTACTCTCGGATGAAGCTGTTGTAAAACGTTTAGACCGAAAGCTCAGTGAGGATGAAGCTGTAGTAAAACGTTTAGACCGAAAGCTCAGTGAGGATGAAGCTGTAGTAAAACGTTTAGACCGAAAGCTCAGTGAGGATGAAGCTGTAGTAAAACGTTTAGACCGAAAGCTCAGTGAGGATGAAGCTGTAGTAAAACGTTAAGACCGAAAGCTCAGTGAGGATGAAGCTGTAGTAAAACGTTAAGACCGAAAGCTCAGTGAGGATGAAGCTGTAGTAAAACGTTTAGACCGAAAGCTCAGTGAGGATGAAGCTGTGTAAAACGTTTAGACCGAAAGCTCAGTGACTTTTTGCGTAGGCGTGCGCAAAACTTTTGGTCAAATTTGAGCGGTTTTTGTTGAATAACTTTGCACATGTGGTTTTTACTTAGACCAATTTTGACGTACGAAATTTGGAAAAAAAAAATCACAAAAGTATGATTTTCTATCAAATAAAGTTTCTGTACTTTCCGTGCGAAGAAAACAAAAACAGGAAAAAATTTAATTAAAATTGAAGATTTTATATCTCGTGTATTTCTTAATGGTTGCCTTGAAATTCGGTATGTGAAGTAAGAGTCCAGTAGAGTACATCCACTGAAAATACTTAATACTTTGGAATTACTACAGTCCGAGCTACAGAAAGAGGAAAATCGTTAAACTATCGCTCCTGTATATAACACACAGTGTCCTGCAGGTTGTTTAGGCTGCACGACACACAACCGTGTGTGTCTTGATTTTACTTGGAAAAACACCTGACGAAGACGTCACACGTTTTCTTATCATAACACCTGCCCATTTGCAAAATGTTACGGTATATTATAGCTACTAATATATGTTTGAAGCAAATTGAAAATTAAATTAACCACAATTTGTTTTAAGTATTACAATTTAGTTATTTATAAAATATAATTTGAACGACAACAAACTAACATAAAAATTCCACCGGATTCTTCGATAAGAGTACTTGTAAACAAATGTTTTGGGCCAAACAAGAAGTCCTGCATGAATTCCCTTATCAGTGGTAGAAAACTTACCATAAGTTTCTCATCTCGTTTCTTCGATACCGCATCAGTTGTTTGTATTCAGAAATACGAAGTTTTTTGCCATCCACAATACAAGTTCTCTTTGGACGAGGTTTATAACGGTAATCTGGATGTTTCTCCATGTGCAGCTTACTGAGACGGGATTGTTCCTCGTAATAAGGTTGTTTTTCTGAATTAGACATGGCCTTCCATCGAGCACCTAGAATTGGAGCATATTAAGAGTTAGGCTTATTGTTTAAATGTTACACAAAGCATTTATAAAGTTATGTACTAACTTGCACTTTAAATGAGTATCTAATAAAAAGCACATATACAGCTGTGTGCTAATTTGTACGCTAAATGAGGGATATAAAGTACGCACAGTTTTGTGCTAATTTGCTCATTAAGTGTACATACATCTACAAAGCGCGTGTATAGTTGTATGCTAACTTGAAGTGAGAAAAACACAATTTCGAAACTAAGTTTTTCGAAGTTTAGTTGTTGTTGTTTTTTGCCGTTTCGTACTGGTTACATACACAGTCCGAATAAAAATACTGGGTGAAAAAGAACTTTGAAAGATCTATTTCACGCACACACAGAATGGTCGGAGTTTGTAATCTTAACATTTTAACTTACTGTGAGAAAAAACAAAACAAACACTTTAATATATATGAATTGATATTCAAACAAATGTGAAAGTTTATAAAACAGTGCTGAGCTAGTAATTTCAACAGCCCATAGTGGCTAATAACAAAACGTAAAAAATCATTACAGTGGCTAATAACAAAACATGTACTACAAAAAATCACATTTCCATCAACAAGAGCAGAAATAAATAAATATATAAATTATGTTCATATAACACATGAAGCAAAAACAACAGGAACTTATAAGACTAGCTTAAAGTTAAAAAAATATACAGCTGAACGAGAAAAATATTCGTCACGTGATACGTGTTATCGTTTCTTTTTTTTTTTATCAGATCGTGATTTCTTGGTGTATTTTAAAGAAAGGTAGGTGTTTACATAATACACATATTTGCGTGCCATATGTGATGTATTATATTTTGAATAAAAAATACACTTTTATTTGAAAATATAAGTTCTGGCATCAAACGCGTGACTAGTTAATATTTTTACGTAGTATTTCAACATGTTATATTTGAGTTATTGCAAATGTGCATTATTGAACGCCTTATGGTTGAATGATTACGAACGTCCAGCTGAATTTTAAAGAGTCGACTTAGAAGAAAAATCAAATTTGGTATGATTTAGAAAACAGGGAAAATAAGACGAATGGTTACGTATTTTAACGAGGGAAGCAACCTCGACATAAACATTTATTTGCTATCCATTTTTTACAATGATCGAACTCTAGTTCTATAAAATTTATCTACAAATAATCATGTACTTTCCTCATACCCTCTCACTTTTTGTGTTTGTATGGTATTCTATCAAGATAAGATACAGATGTTTCAAATTGACAAGATGTTTTAAAAAGTATCAAGTTGCGAAAACGTCAGACATCTGCTCACCAATCATTCATACTCCCACCTTCGAGTTTCGATTCGTAATTTCACCTAACTTCGATATTGAAAATCAGTTAATTGGCGCGAGACGCAGATGTTATTTGTGTTCACGTAAAGGTGGCATTACTACGGGGAAAATAAATGGAATATGCGTGTTTGTAGAATATCCTCACGCATGCACATGTTATAGTAAAATCAAGATGTTACCTCTTCTTTCGTACGTATTTCTTCTGGATTGTGAAACTGTGATTTAAATCAGCTGATATACCATAAAAGCATAATAAGCCGATTTAATGGTTTCGTACACGCAACCCAAATACCAACTGTTAACGTACAATTTTCTTTTTTCAACTAATTTCGCAGTTCAAAATATACTGAAGCTACCTTCAAATATCAATCACTTTAAATAAAATGATAGCAATGACTTTCAAAAGTTTCCCCTTTGTATATCTGCAATTTTTGCCAACTTAAATAAGCAGCTGGTTCTCAATATTATGATGTTTATGATCCTTTTCTAGTACTAAGCTAAGTGGATTTTAAATAGTGACTAATAGTTTTGGTCATACATGTTGTAAAGCTCTAACTGTGTGTAACTTTCTTTCTTTCCTAGCCGAGAATGACGCTCGCTGCAATAACGACAAGGCTTAGCGTGACCCACTAGTTGGGTTCGTGTTTCGTTACTGCAAGAAACAAAAACTTGCACTAAACATTTTGGGGCTGTGATATGTTATAAAGATGACGGTCAAATCCCACCATTCAGTCAGACAAAAGTAATGTTACGTCTCTGGTCGTTAGTTAATTTTCCGTAAAACTTTAAGAAACTTTAAGCGACACAAGTCCTTTCTTAAATAAAACTAGTTTATTCGTTTCTCAATACAACTTTGAAATTCACTTAATTTCCACGGTCACGCTATAAGTTAAACAAATGCTATAATTCACAACGAACGACTCACGCGCTCGACCCAACTGTCCGTCTCTATCTTTGTCTGCAATTCAACTACATTGTTGCCGTCACTTCTTGGCGCTCTTATATACAAGAATACCGCATATCTAGTAAACACTCGAGGCTTCAGGAAGGGACATGAACGTTCTAGAAGCTCATGACGTGTTACCAGAGTCACGTGACTTCCGCTGTCGTAACAGTAACTTAAGAGAAGGCACTGGGTGCCTTCCCTGTAGTCTATTACTATTAGTCCAAAATTAGGAAAGGCTTGCGCAAGTAGTTCCTAAGCAAATATTCTGAAACAGTAAGAACGTTGACAAACTGTCAGAAGTTTTGTGTTGAGGTAATATTACACTGTATTGTTATATTCAATATATCAGTAACAAAAGTGACGTATCAAACTTGCGACAGTTTCCGCATTATTAGGTCTGGTACTTGTTAACCTTTAGCATATAAAAGTTTTTAAATATGTTGCCTCGAAGGCAATAGTTAAATATACAATGATAGGCTTAGTATTGTATTACGGGCTTAAGTCAGTTCTTACAAAATAACGAAAATGGTGTAATTACCCTATCGGTAGAAATTTAGTACTAAATTGCAAATATATTATCTTACCTAATATTTTTGAAATGTTGGAGTTATGCATATCTGGGCAAGCTTTTAATATTTTCCTTCTTTCGTCTTTAGCCCACACCATGAAAGCATTCATTGGTCTTTTGATGTGAGGCTTTCCGTCGGTGTCCTTCTTGGCCTGGCGGATTATTTTGGCACCTAGAAGTTTACCTGTAGAATAAATCCCAGTTATTCTAACAAGAAATAACGACATAACCTTTCATATTACTGAGATTAGTGAACATTTATTTACGTCATGCATAGCGTATACTGTAGAATGTGCATGTTTTCGTTCTTCTAAAACAATGGATAATAACTAGAGATTAGTTTGTTTTGAATTTCTCGCAAAGCTATACGAAGGCTATCTGCGCTTGCCGTTCCCAATTTAGCAGTGAAAGACTAGATAGAAGGCAGTCAGTCATCACTACCTACCGCTAACTCTCTGGCTATTTATTTACCAAAGAATAGTGGGATTGACCGCCAAATCATAACGCCTCCACGGCTGAAAGGGCGAACATGTTTGGTGGGATAAGGGTTCGAACCGCGACTCTCCGATTCCCAGTCAAGCGCCCTAACCACCTAGCCATAACTAGAGAAATATATTTAAAGTTAAAAACGTATAAGTAATTTTATTTGTAAGCTCTTGCAAGCCAAAGCGTGGGGAAATAAAGAATCAATAGACCCTATACTCAAAAGTATGAAATATTTTAATGGCATTTCCCATTATTTGGATAGCTTATGACTGACCAAAATAAGATGATCTATTTATCAAGCAAATATATTTTATATATATGGAAATATATTAATTTCACTAAGAAGTTATACCATATTTTGTTTGCTTGCTTTAGCGCCAAGCCTTATAATGGGTTATCTACTCTGTGTCCGTCGCGGGGATTGAAACCCAAATTTAATCTCAATGCCTTTTTAACAAGTGTGTAAACTAAATAAATGTAGTTTCATATTTCGAATGTATTTTTCTGAGAACAAGAGTGGAATTCCAGTTACTTATACATCATTTGTGTAAAATATCTAGATTGCTTAAATTTCATATAAGAAAATTCTAGATGGATTTTGCACCTAAATTTCAAATATTTAGAGAATAGTCTATCATATTCTTATGTGCCAGGTGTGGCCTAGTAGTTAACATGACAAGAGTGCGAATCCAAAAATTCATGGTTCACGGATCCGTTACCACAAAAACGCGCTCCGCAATTGAGGCGCATGTGTGCATTATAAGAGCGGCCAGTCAACTCCCACTATTCGATCAGTCAAAGAGTTGGCGGTAGATACAGTTGACTAGATGCCTTGCCTCTAGGCTAGCAGTTCAAATTAACGGAAGGCTATGCGCAGATCGCCCTTGTGTGGCTTTACGCCTAAGAAAAAAAAAGTTTTACGCGAAATTCTGAAACAAGTAAATTATATAAGCAAAAAACATAATTGTCTATTATGGTTGTTTTTACGAGATGCACGAGGAAAGCATTCACATGACTGCTACAGACGGACAAACATTTTAAGTGTTTCTTTCCTGCCTCCGTAGCATGATAATAAACTCAATTTCACGTGTTTTATACTTAATTAACTTGTATATTTCGTATATATACGATCTTCCTACTACAACGAATGTGGTACAGGTTGTTATAACTAAATTGGTAGATTATTATGGAACCTTAAAATTTTCATCCGTCAATGGATCACAAAGATCCAAAAGGATTCTTACTCTGACAAGTAATAACCATCTCGCCTTTCTTGTCGACGTCGCTGGTGCTTGCCTCTGTAGCTTCTTTCCTTGAACTTCCAGAGTCAGCAGGTTGTGTCATGTACATATGCATAGGAAAGTGTGTCTCCGCGGATCCCAGTCCCAAACCTGGATTATTCTGTCCAACTGCTAATCCTGAGGTAGACATTTTTTCAGCTCCGTGCATCGCTGCAGCCTGTTGTGCACCTGAAGAATGAAGGACGTAAAGAACTTAATATCTAATCCTTACCCTAGTTCTGATTTGTAAATGACTTTTATAAAGTGACAAAAATTACATCAGCTTAATCTAGTTCACACCGTAACAGTTGTTGTTCATCTAATTCGATAATACAAATGGTGTTTCAACCACTAACGTGTCTGTTGTATCCAAGCCGTCCTGATGAGCCTTGCTTTTGGGCAAAAGAGTTCGTATACACTGAATATAACAGAGCTAATGTGGTTGTAGATTGTTATATGTTCTTCTTTAGTTTCACTCATAAATTATCCTAAGCAATAATACTTCCATTTTTGTCGAACGCGACTTGAATTTATAACAACGCAATAATGTACTTACAGCAATCGTGGCACACCACGAATAATTATCAACTTAACAATATCTAAATGCCTTTAGTGACACCAGAAAAGAATGAACAATCAAGGAATGTTTGCTCTTTATGAAAATATAAATAGTACGCCGACAAAGATTGACTGTCAATGAACAGAAATAATGATATATATAATAAGAATCATTCGCAGAAGTTTGACAATCAAAGTAATAAATTCGGTAATTATAGATTTTTAAATAAAATCGGCTATTTCATTATACATCTATACAGAATTGTATGTTTCATTCACTGGTTCTTCATTTTACTTTCAAATCTGTTAGACAGATATTCACCCAGGGTCGAGACGGCGATTGAACCAAAACCCAGCAAAATCACTGAGGTTCGTGTTACTTATGTAAATGTATGAAAAACTATTCAATTATAATTTGATGTCTTTGATGGAGACTTAACACAGGAAGAGTATATAGGCTTAGATAAACCACTCATAATATCGAATTCCTTAGAGAGTTTTATAATATATCATTATTTACAAAATCAAGGATTGTTTGTTGTTAAGCG